AATGGGTCTGATAGGGGAAGGTTCGTTCTCCTCTCCAACCAATGTGGACTCTGAAAAATGGATGGTCAAGATTTGTTGGGGGAATTTTTCTTCAATTGGCTGCCAACATTAAAAAAGACAGTGTTTGCAGGTGTGAAGTAGTTGTCACAAACATGGGGAAAAAATTCCAAAAATAAAACAAAAATATTCCATTGGGAAATTCTCAATGTTGTGTTGTGGTGATTGATGTAACCATACAATGAGAAAAGATGATGGATTTTTGTGGCAGAATGAACGAAAGTGGAGTTCAATTAGCTTACTCCACCTACAACATCATATGTTTCTATCGAAGTTGTTCAAATTAATTTTCAAATCTATTGCCCTACATTTTGTACCTTTTTCCCTAGGTTTTTCGATCAAAACCCTAAAACGTTCAAGCAAAGTGTTTTCATGGTTGGTGTCCTTTTCGATCTCTATACGTTTCATCGCTCCTATATGTATCTGATAGCGTTACTGTGAGATCCCACATTAGTTGGAGATGGGAACGAAACATTCCTTGTAAGAGTGTAGAAATCTTTTCTTAAAATACGTGTTTTAAAACTGTGAGGCTGGTGGTGATATGTAATAGGTCAAAACGAATAATATCTGTTAGCGGTGGACTTAAATTGTTACAAATGGTACCCAAGTCAGTCATTGGGTGGTGTGACGACAAGGACGCTGATCCCACAAGGAGTGTGGATAGTGAGATCCCACATTGGTTGGAGAAGAGAACGAAACATTTCTTATAAGGGTATAGAAACTTCTCCTTTGTAGACACGTTTTAAAACAGTGAGACTGAGGGTGATACGTATAATGAGCTAAAGCGGACAGAAGAGTTGTTTAGTGGCATAAAAAAAAAAAACATGATCGAAAATGGTAAGTAAAGAGACCCGAGCTAATTAGACCTAAAAAAATGAATATTTTTTACAACTAGAAAAGCTCACGAGAAAGAAAAATTAAATAAATTATGCTATAATACATGCTCAAAATAAGGATAACCCTTATTTATTTATATATCTTGCCATCAAATTGTTGCATATAACATTGAAAATAATAGTTGGCCCTAGTTCAACCCTATAATTATATATATATATATATATACACACACACTAGGCACATGCACTTGTCTTTTTTCTTTTCGCCCTTACAAATTATGTACATTTGTAATTTGTTTGTGCCTCCAAATTTTAGGGTTTGTGTTTTCTTAATATTCCATACATTTTTTTTGACCAAACATATTGGTGGGTCCTTCAGCCTCACGATTTTAAAACGCGTCTATTAGAGAGAAGTTTCCACACCCTTATAAAAAAGGTTTTGTTCTTCGACGTAGGATATCGCAATCCACTCCCTTGGAGCCAAGTGTCCTCGCTAGAACATTTTCCCGTATCTAGCTCTGATACTATCTGTACCAGCCCGAGCCCATCACTTACAAATCTTGTCCGCTTTGGTATGTTACGTATCGTTATCAGCCTCACAATTTTAAAACGTATTTGCTAGGGAGAGGTTTCTACACCCTTATAAGAAATGATTGATTCCCCTCTCTAACCATTGTGGGATCTTACAGGTAAACTCGACTACACAGGCCTACTTAAAATCTCGAGCTTAATTTTGATTGAAACTCAAGGATTCGATTTGATTATAAGCTAGAACAAAATGTTTTGAAAGTATATGAACGTTAAAACGAAGTAAGGAGCAGCACAAATATAGAGATCGGGGAATTCAAAGCATATGTTATATGGGATTTGTGAAAAGTGAGAAAGGTAAGAAATTGGGCACACACAACTATGGGTAATATGTTTAATTTACTATAGGAGGCACATTAGGGGCATAAGGTCCCAAGATGTCTTGGGATTATTAGGACAAGATTAGGGATAGATGCCTTTGTGTGGGGTACCCCAATGTTGGGTCAACTACATAGCCTATTTCCCCACCTAAGCCATACAAACAAACCCTAAGACTAGACAGCCTTGTTCCCATGTGCTCAAATTTAAGAGCAACATTCCAAAACGACAACCTCCTTTGTGCCTCTCTTTCTCTCTCCCTCTCTTAAAAACATCTTTTTTTGAGAAGAGAAGCTAAGTTTTTATACAAACACTACTCGGGTTTCGAACAATAAGAAGTATCTCTAAGCTTTATTGTTAAAAAGTTGCAATATCACCCTTGATATTTCATAAACGTTTCAAAACTACCCTTCGAGTATAAAGGGTAGTGACCTGAGTGTTGATGGTGGGGTGGTGACCCAAGTCAAATTATTGGGACCCCGAACAATGTCATATCATTCCAAGTCAATGCTATACTCAATTTAGGTCTCAATTTTCATCCAACGTTCTAACAGATTTTACTTTAATGATAGTTTTGAAACATTTATGAAAGGTCGATTCCATTAACTGAAAATCTTTACATTTTTACAGGTGCAATGTCGTGAATAATTTTATTTATAATATGTCCGAAATGCATGCATTTAATATTAAATTACGAAAAAAAAAGTGGGGTTTTGAAAATCAATGAGCTAATCATTCCTAGATAGAACATGAAAGAAATTATGTGGGAAAGTTGGAATTTATTTCTTCTCAATCATTCCCTAAACAAACATACAAATATAGTCACAAGGGAGATTCTTATTTTCATAATAATCTAAACAATATAAAGAGAATATACACTACGAGAATTTGAGTTGTCGATCTAGGGTATATGCCCTAATCGGTTAAAACGGTTTTGCTCATAATCCATGATTACAAACTACATCAAGCCTCTGAAACGGTTTTGCTCATATACTGGTGCGTCTACAGAAGAGGAAATCACGATGTCGAGAGAAAGAGTTGGAGCTCGATGTGCCCGATTCTTCTTGCTCGATTTCATCCATATTCTAATGAATCCCGAGAGAAAGAGATGGAGCTCGATGCGCCCGATTCTTCTTGCTCGATTTCATCCATATTCTAATGAATCCGAGAAAGAGTTAGAGCTTGATGCACCCGATTCTTCCTTCTCGATTCCATCTATATTCTACCTTCAATTAGAATGATTTGAAATTCTCGAATCTTAATCAGGTGCATCCATAGAAGAGGAAATCACATTGCTAAAGAAAAAAGTTGGAGCACGATGCACCTAAACCCTGAATCATCTTTTCCGCGACTTATAAGTTAATAGTTAATACAAAATTCTATTTTTATGAGATAAATAAATAAATATTAAAGTCAAACATTTTAATATCTATCCCTAATTTAAGAAATTATTTACTATATATATATATATAATATGTTAATTAAATAAATATACACATATTAACTGTTAATTGATCATGCCCAACGATTGCTTCCCCTAATTAATTTCAATAAAGTCAATTGAAATAAAATAATTAAAAATTAAAAATTAAAAATTAAATTCATTGATAATATCCTTGTTTTAAGGTCCAAAAAAATGGTTAATTATTATTAATTAATTAATTAATTAAAAACAGCATGAAGAAGATCCTAATTAGGTATGTGAATCAAACTAAACAACTCATGCTGATCTGTCATCTCCAATCATTCCTTAAAAAACACCTCAAAAATTAAAAAAATAAATTAAAAAAATAAATAACCCTTGAGAAATTAATTAATTACAAAATGTCCACAAAAAATAGAAAAATTAAAATTTGGATCCCTTTCTTTCTCTTATATTTATTTTTCTCTTTGGGAAACTGAAATAATTAATTGCATTTATTCCACAATAAAATACCATAATACAAAATGGGGCACGTTTTTTAATTAGAATGTCCTACCTTAATATAATATACTTTAATTAACTAATAAATATATATTTAGAGATAAATATTTGTATATATTTAATTACTTTATTATTAATTATTTTGTACGTTTGACCTGAGTTGGATCCACATCAAGAGAGAATATATTTATTATGGGGTGACAAAAAAATTAATTACTAAATATTATATTATTAGTTATTTAAATTTAAATTAATATAAAGGAAAATTTTGTCTTTAATATGATATTATATGAAGAAGCTTTTATTTCCCATCATTTAAAAATTATATTTCAAGTATAACTTTTTTTTTTCCCTTATAATTTAACAAAATAAAAATAATATATTGTATTTAAAGATTTAAAAAAATATAAATAAAAAGTACAATTAAACAATTTTATTAAAAATAAAAATTAATATTGTGATATTAAAAAATAAAAATAAAAAAATGAAAATAATTTAAGTTACAATTCAATCCAATAAATAATTTAAAAATTATAATTTAATCCAAAAAAATACTATACACAATATCTTACCATATACAAATTAATAAATACATATTATATATATAGATATATTAAAAAAACATTATTTTAAGAAGAAGATAAGCTCTATTAGGCACCAATTTAAGAACATCTCTTGACCCATTATTTTTCTTTCTAATGGTTTCTAGAAGAAAAAAAAGCTCCTTCTAATATTGTACTTTTTCTTTGTTATTTTCATTTTAAAAAAACATTTTGTTTTTAAAATTTAAAAAATAATTAATATAAACAAAAAAAAGTTTTATACAAACGATTAAGGGTGTTAAAAAAAACTAACAACGTGAAAACTCGTTCTCCTGAAATTAAGTTGCCCCTTAATCGAGACTCGACTCCGTTCTCTAAAGCCCTCGACACATTAATGCTCACAATTCTTTGTTTGATATTTGAGAATTCTATTGACATGACTTTAATACCATGTTAGGAATCACGACGCTTCATAATAATGGTATAATATTATCCACTCCTGAGCTTTCGTGGCTTTGCTTTGGACTTTCGAAAAGCTCCCATACAGATAGTATCTCTTACTTATAAACTTATAATTTCTACTAAATTAATCGAGGTGGAGTCCCTCCTAATAATCTAACGTTAAAGATTTATAGGCACCCTCTCTCGGTGTGTGGTTGGTTGACCCTTAGCATTCCAATGGCGGCCCCTACGGCGGTGGCCTTGCTTTCTCTCTCATAAAATTCTCTCTCCTGAGTTGGGTGTGTGTTGGAGTATTTAAAACCCAAACCCAAACCCACAAAGCTACTAACCATTCAGGAATTCCCCAAACGCTCCCAACCATACAAAAATGGTGGCCTGGATTTTGTGTTCCTTCTTGTTTCTACTGGGTTTAAGGGCGGCGGTGGTTCTGTGGTGGCGGCCGAGGAAAATAGAACACCATTTCTGCCGCCAAGGAATCAGAGGCCCTCCCTACCGTTTCTTCATCGGAAATGTTAAGGAAATTGTCGGAATGATGATTAAAGCTTCCTCCGATCACTCTTTTCCTAATTCTTCTCATAATATTCTTCCTCGTGTTCTTCCTTTTTACCATCACTGGAAGAAGATTTACGGTATTTTCTCTCTCCTCCCTCTCTCTCTCTCTCTAGATTTGTAATTTTCAATTTTCCCACTTTTTTGGCAAAATTTTTACTACCCATTTGCTTGTTTTGTGTTTTTTCTCTGAAAATTAACTACTTCTCTTAAAAGATGCTCTTTTTTTCATAAAAATTCATTGCCCATTAGCTATTTTACCCCGTCTCCTCTCAGAAACTTTGATCTTTACTCGTCGGGAGGTAAGGAATCACGAATCTCCACAATGGTACGATATTGTCTACTTTAGCATGTGTTTTCATGACTTTGTTTTTTATTTTTTCAATTGGGCTCGTACTAATAGAGATGTGTTTCTTACTTATAAATTCATGATTATCGCTCATGTGGGATCCCGCCCAATGATCCACAGCACGGAATTCATTATCGGATATCTCTTTTGCCACCCATCTTCTAAAATTAAAAAATTTAGTATTTGAAGAACATAATATAGAGATTTGAAGTTTTTTTTTTTTTTTTTTTTTTTTT